AACTGATAATCTCTTCAAAGACAGACCCTAACAACCCAAAGTCTTAATCACAGGGCAGGTGTCAGAACTCCGACGTATCTTTTGGGGGGTGCAATTCAGTCCCTGTGGCACTGTAGGATCAATACTGGACTGCTAACTGCCAGGTCAGCAGTTCCAACCCACCCGTCGCTCTCGGAAACGCTATAAGGGTCGCTATGAATCGAAACCAAGTCAACAGACCTTAACAATCACAATTCAGTCCCTAAGAGGACCACAAAGAGATGCGGTGTCTAGTAATTGGTTTGGGTTTACACCTTATGTTGTTGTTGTTAAGTACTGAGGAGTTGGTTCCCACTCATAGTGACCCTGTACAGGGTTTCCGAGGCTGTAAATCTTTATGGGAGCAGAAAGCCTCATCTTTCTCCCACGGAGCGGCTGGTAGTTTCCAACTGCCGACCTTGAGGTTAGCAGGCCGATTCGTAACCACTACGCTACCACAGCTCCTTACAGGCGTTGTGAAAACAGTATGAGAGGGGCTAGCTCTCAGGGAAGCCCCCCAATGCTACCATATACCTCTTTCTCTAGTCGATGCCTACTCACAGCACCCCCATGTGTGCCAGAAGAGAACTGCATTTCAGAGGGTTTTCAAGATCCCTGGGCCTTTTAATGAGACGACTCTGGGTGGACCCGAACCTCCAACCTTTTAGTTAGCAGCCGAACGTGTTCACCATTAGCACTACCCAGTACTCTGTCCACACACGTTCGGAGGGATTCGTCTTCTCTCTCCATTTTACAAACGAGAAAATGCACCTCGCGACCAGCGCGGCTTCTCAACAGGCAGATGACACGTGAAAGAATGAGGACGACGCTTGCTTCTAGCGGGACGAAATTTCCACTCACTAGGATTCCAACCTCGCCACCACCCCACCCTTGCATGGAGCTCTCTCTCATTTGTCCTAAATCAGAAATAGGACGCTCATCACAAACATATCTTCACTTGCAGCTCCAAGAAGCACAGAGCATCACAGGCCCAGAGCACAAGATCCCTGGAACCTGTGACTTGTACCCAAGGCTCTGGCTTCCAAGCTTGGCTTCCCCAAGCTGGCTGCTCCAGACTCCCTGGAACCTGTGAATGCTTTCAGCTCCCACGCATCCCACTCTATCACTTCACATGGAGACTTCAGTATGATGAGTCTAGGGGTCCTGGATCCAAATAAGCCACTCGATTTGGGATGGTTCTGACACAACAGCCAGGCCCAGCCCCTACCCAGGACCCGTCCTAGCCCAACACTGACCTCTGTCCCCCAGGATCACCGAGGAACACTGCCTTCCCCGCTCTTTGCTGCCCAGCTATGTTCGGTGGCTCCCCTCTGCCTCTCCCATCCACTCCTCCTGGCACCTCGGCCTGTGTCACTTCTGATTCTAAACCACTCTCCTGCCATGAAATGGACTGCCCGGCTGGCTCCAGAGCAAGTTTACATTCAAGTTCAGCTCTTATCTGCAAACAATCAGGTTTTCCTCCATCCACAGTCCAGCCTCACCATCCTCCGGCATCACACATATGAAGAGGGGGCTGTCACCACCATCCTGTTTCAGGTGAGGAAACTGAAGTCCAGAGAGGCCAAGTCATTTCCCCAAGATCACACAGCTGGATGTGGATCAAGGTCTTCTAAAGCCATGTCTGGAACTGGAGAGCAGACATGTTGGTTTTCCTTCCAACCTCTATGCAAAGTCACGCTTGTCCACAGAGGGTCTTCTTACTAAGTATCACTTCCGACACCTCACTTCCAGAATACATGGAGAGTCCCTTTCTGTTCCCTGCCTTTCCTTCTTTCACGCAGGTCTTTCTGCTAGCTAGGGACACATTTGTCACCATCCCCTGGGATACCTGTCTTTGTGAGTCTCCTCTACACGCAAGATGAGACCCCTATGGGATCCCAGGGCCTCCTTCACCCACCCTGAGTCCCATCCTCCAAGCAGACACTTAGCCTAGGAAGACACCTCCCCACCACCTGGATGTTCTTCTCACTAAATGCCCTGCACACATTTGCTGTTCAACGGGTCCTCCAAGCTCCGTCATTGCCGGTGACAGCCAGATTTAGCATTCCCTGTTGCTTGCCCTGCTCATCCTTCATTCATACCACTATCTTCAGATGGTTGGTACAGCCCATGGTACTACACCCAAGGGCAGTCTGAAGCCTGAACCCACATACTGTCTAGGTCCAATGTCACTGGACACTTATTGCCTATAGAGGTCCAGGACAGATGACCCCTCCAAGTAAAAAGCCTTCCTCTAACATGACATTCTGTGGTAAGGGATCAGAACTGGAGGATGGGAGAGGCACATCCTAAAAGCCCCTGGCACACCAATGTGGTCTTCCCCTTTAGGGAAATCTGAAGCCTGTAGCCCTCTGGGCCTCACTTACAGCTTACCCCACCTGACTTGCCTGCCACAGTTTCATGGGAGCATTCTGGGTCCCCCTAAACAGACCAGAAGTATATGGGCAGAATTCATTCTCACTCATTCCCGTTACCCTCTGGATTAAAAGAGACACAGAGAGATCTCAGAAGCCCCTCAATTTGCCAGAAAGTCACTGTGGAGGTCGATCCTTGAGATGCCTTTAAGTAATGTCTAGATTTCGTCTCAATGCAACATGAGAACTCTGTTAAGCGTTTTCCATTCCAGCTGCCCACGGAAAGATGCATCAGCAACTGGGCTCGGGGTCTGGAGATAAAGATGTCCCAGCAGCCCTCAAACAAACCAGCTAATGACCAAGGCAGTAAGGGTGACCACTGGCAGATGCAAATGCTGAACCACCTGGCTGTCAATTGAAACATTTGGGTTTACCCAGAGGTACTTTATAAGAAAGGACCTGTCTAGCCACTTCTGAAAAACCAACCACTGAAAAATCTAGGGAGCCCAGCTCTGCTCTGACACATATTATGAATCAGAATCAACTCCACGGGAAAGGATTTTTTTGGTTTTGTTGGAGTCATAAAGAGGCCAGGTTTGGAACCACTTTTATTTACCAAAAAAATAAAACACCCAACAAAACAAAACAAAAAGGAGCAAGAGAGAGAAAACAAAACACCTGCCCAAAAAGTGATCCCTTACGTAAAGCAAGACTCGTGTCCTGTCCCTTTTGTCTTGTCTCTTCCAGGGGATTTCCCCTCCTTCTAACACACTACCCCCAGACAGGGCATCAGGAGGAAAGCTGACAGCCACTCCCACCCCTGAATCTGGGACTCCCCAGCCCAGCCCACACTCCCACCCAAGCCAGGCCTCTCCAATGACAACAAAAACATTCTTCTTCTATGCATCTGACATTCTCCTACTTAAGTGACTGGTAGAGGTGTCTTCCACAGCTGGAAGAGTGGAGACAGTTCTTACAAGGTCAGGGACAGGGGTCCGGGCGCATGTTGATGGCGGGGAATCTGAGGCTGCCTTTCTGGAGACAAGGGGCCAGGAGCTGTACCGTCAGCAGTCTGGATCAGCAGCTCTGGCCTGAGAATGCTTCCAGCCGGAAGGACAGGCTTGGCTGCTAATCCACCAGTTAAAGCCCACAGGTGTCTGTGGTATCAGGGCACAATGGGATGGAACCCCATGGCGGCTCTGTACCCACACATCGTCAACATTTGCAGAAAAAGCTCTTGCTCAACCAAGGGCAGACAAACCCAGAGTACATTCAAGTTACACAAGCATTTTCACCTTCTTTTTCTGTCATTTCTCCCCATTTACGTACACTCACTGCCCCCTCAGCTTCCTAGCTAACCTCTGAGTTGCCACTGTCAACTTGACCTCACATAGCTAGTTCTTAAAAGAGCGCCATGTTCAAGGCAGGCATCCTTTATTAGATAAGCTAAACCACTGTTTGGTTTAAAGAAGTCGTTAGGAGCTATTTTTGGTTCAAGATTTTAAAATGATCTCCGGGCAACAGTCCCAAGAGTTCATCCAGCTTCCACGGATCCATAAATCTGGATTCCATAAGAATATGAAATTCTGTTCTGCCTGTTGGTCAGATTTTTTTTTATGGAACCTTTGATGGACCCTCATTACTCTCTTCCAATGTTGTAAGGATTTGTTGTTAAGGTGTGTGCTTGCTACCTGTCTGACACTTGCCACAAACTAGAGTTTGAGTGTCCCTTGGAATACGTCACGGCAAAATGGAGCAACAGAGACGGGTCTCTTGTGATACAATAGTGAAGAATAATTGTTATCAGGACTGATTGTGAGGGTTGGAAATGTAAAGGTAGACGTTTTATAACAAGGAGGGGAGTGATTAACTTTTCAGTCTAGGAGCGGAGGTCCCTAGGACCATCAATGGAGAAGAGCCAAGAGCAGGACCCTACCCAGAGAAGCAGTGATGCCTGAGATGGAGGCAGAGATGATGACGTGGAGAGATGGAGCAGCTGGAGACTTTAGATCCAGAGAGGGAGAGCGACTGTGTGCTGAAGACCGGGGAGGTGTCGGGGGCAGGCTTGCAGGGTATACCCTTTGGTTGGTTGATGATGCACGGAGGGGATTGTAACCATAGCAATGAGACGATATATGATAGAATGAATGTAAAAGTAATGTTCTCCCATGTAAACTATCACATAATTCACAATAAAACATTTAAGGGAAAAAAAAAAAAGGGGAGCAACAGAGCTGGAAGAGAACAGGAGTGGAAACACATGCTCAGGGCATGGGGTTGTGGGGTCACACCTTGCTTCACACTGTCTTCTGACACAACTGTTCTCCTTTACGACAAAAAATTGGTTTGTTGAACTATAAGTCACAGCATGAGATTTACATCACAACATGCTCAAACTCCCAGGCTCCATCTGTTGTTGCGACGATACTTTCGCAATAGGAAACCTGACGCTCCAAGGAGGTCAATGACGCGCTGAGGTCATTCAGGGCCCTGACACGAGCATGATCTCAGCCGGTATTGATGCTCATGGACATCTGGCACCAAGATGTGCTCCCTGGCACTTTGTTCTCCTTTCAGTCCACTGCCTGCTCACCTGTGCCATCTTACCTGCCTTGCATGTCCTGCCATTGTCTTGAAGCTGCACACCGGTGGGGCAGGCGCACGTGTAGAAAGGTTCCCGGGGAGACAGCAAGCACAGGTGGGAGCAGCCGCCATTGTCCTCCTCACACTGCGTGTGGACTGCAGAAGCCAGGGTGGGGTAAGGGAAAATTCCAGAACAAGACCCACAACTTCCCACCACCCGCCACTCACTGCCTCCAAATGAGTCAACCTCCCACTCCTTCATCCCTCCTGAAAGCCCCTCTGCCCAAACATCAGGACCCTTCCCTACAGTGCCATCCCATTCTGCCTCATGCCTGACCACCCTCCTTTCAGACCTTCAGTCCAGCAGATGCACTACAATTTCTCCAAACACGCTGCGACTGTCCCCACCCCCTCATGGCCCAGTCTGCCTGCCTGGGTTCCCAAGGCTCCTAGAGGAAGCATCTTCCCACTCTGCTCCCCCAAATTCCTGTACAAGAAAGTCCTCCCTTTTCCCTAAGTCTCTTCAAAGGACACCTCCCTGAAGCCACTGGGATTCTCACACAGAGTGTGCTGTTACACCAGCAGGAACTTGGGGTCCCCCATGGCGACATACTTAAGGGGTCCAAAACAGGGGCCCAAGAGCACTAGGTCTGTCTCATTTCTGTGAGGTGCCGGGGCTCCCCCATGAGGGGTAGCTAGGAACCCTGAAACTGGGGCCTGGGAGGTATTAGATCTGTCTCGTCTCTGTGACATTGTCTCTGTGAAGTGCTGGGGCCCTGGGCTGAGACTTTCCATCAACAATTGCTTTCAGCACCTCCCTTTGCCTAGGACAAGGGTGGCGTTTAAAAATAAACTAAACCAGCTGCCACACAGTCGACTCCAACTACTAGCGACCCTGTGTGTGTCAGAGCATAACTGAGCTCCACAGGGTTTTTTCATGGCTGATTTTTCAAAAGGAGATCACCAGGCCATTCTTCCACAGCACTCCCCTCCTCTGGGTGGACCTGAACCTCCAGGCTTTGGGTGAGTGGCCAAGCATGGTAACCATGTGCACCAGTCGAGGGTGGAGGTGTGAGATCAGTGGTTAGCACACAGAGAAGTAAAGCCTGGCTTCTGTGGGGTGTTGTCTCTCTTCCAAAGTCACAGCGCACATGCTAAAGCATGCGGGCTGCCAGCCAGGTGTACCTGAGTGATTAGTAACCACAGCATTCTCCCTGCTGTTCTGTGCTGACAACAAATGCTCCCCATCGGCCCCTAGTCTTTAGTGCTAAGTTCAAGCCCTCCTGACAACAACTTGGCCAGAAACGCTGGCTCCTGGCTTCACACAGCTTTAAGTCCAGGGCCCTGCTGGCCACGAGTCACAGCAGTCGTTAACTCTGCGTTCTGTGTCTTTCCCTTTCAGGGACCCCAGACCAGGAACGATGGACACAGAGCAGGTTCATCATTCACAAACACAGACGGAGCTCTTTGTACCACGCTCTGCTCTATTGCTCTTTGCAGATACTATGATTTTTACAAATTGAAGGTTTGCTGCCAACCCTGCATCTCCGCACCCCCAGGACATGCTCACTTGTCACCAGATCTCACACTTTGTCATGACGGTATTACACACACCGCAAACTACGTCTGGTGTCAGTATAACTGTTATCTGACCTGGGAAACCAAAGCCTTCACGGGACTCGCTTTATTGCGGTGGTCTGGAACCACACCCGTAATATCTCTGTTGCCCTTGGGCCTTGAAAACGGGGCAGCTTTCCTTGGAGATCATCCAGTGCCAGCCTTGAAGACAGCAACCCTGCTCTGGCTCCGAGGAGTCACCCACGTTCCCCCGCACTCTGCACACCCCGACTCTACCCCTTTCTCCTTTCTGTATGGCTGGGGGCTGAGCTGAGCTGGGCTGGGTTGGGATGGGCTGGGCTGGGCTCTCCCACCCCAGGCACTCACAGTGTGGCTGGCGTTCCTGGCTGAGCACCTGGATGTCCATCGGTGAATAGAGCGCGTTCAGAATCTCCTTTCTCTTTGCGCCTGTCCGCTTGTTGCAGGCGTGGATGGAGCGGGTCTGCCAGTCTGTCCAGTACAGCGTGTCCCCGGAGAGTGTCAGGGCAAAAGGGTGCGTCAGGCTGCCTTCTACCACCTTCTGCCTGTGGGGAGAGGGGACGAAAAACCCTCAGAGCCCTGCATCCCAGACGTCCTCCCAAAATGTCGCCCAAAGTGTGTGGGGCGCCTTTCAAACACAGCTCAACTGAGGGACTCCCCTGTCATGTGTAAAGGGCTGCAGGGTTAGTTGATACTTTTCTTTAATGTCCACCCTGTTTCAAATGCTTCTTGTAGCAAAGTGGGACATGGAGAAGAGAAATGCAGACAAAGGACCAGAAGGCATCACACCTGGGGACAGGTAGCCAGTTCCAAGCACTCGTCCCTACTCCTGTTTCTTAACAGCTCAATACAAATTGGACCAATGTCTGTTCCTCTAAAGCTCATTCACATACTCTCAGCAGCTGGACCTTGACGTCAACGTAAGGAAAAGCTTTACACAGCTACATATTCACAGTGCCCAGCCAATGAGAACTCATTTTCAATAAGACCACAGACACCATGATGTGGCAATGCGGTTCCAAGCAGAATTCTCGCCTTTGACTCCAAGGCAGTGGACTGGTTTACAGGGAGCCTAGGTTTGATCCCCCACCTGCCCATATGATGTGCCATCACCACCTGTCAGTCAGTGGAGGACTGTGTTGCTAGGAGGCTGAACAGGTGTCAGCAGAGATTCAAGACTAAAAGAGATTAAGAAGAAAGGCCTGGTGATCAGCCAGTGAACTTCGTATGGGTCAGAGCAGTCTTATCCACAACTCTTACGGGGATGGAGCAGGGCCAGGAAACATTGTGATGCACTGTGCAGGGGGTCAACATGCATTGGAGCTGACTTGATGGCCACTGATAAGAGACACTGGACACAGGGTCACAAGTGTTCCCAACCACTAGGAGTATGATGAGCTGCTTCAGGCCTCCTCCCCAGTTCCGGTTCTCCTACGGGCAGGGGTTGCAGCCTGCAATTCGTCCCTGACAGTGAGGGCTCAGAGCAATCTGAGTAAGCAGGAACTGTGGGCACACGCTCTGCTTCAGCCCACGGTGCCTCTTTACTGTTCATCGTGGTTTGGTTTGGTTTTCTGATGTCAGAAAAGCCAGAGATTGGGCATGTCTCAGGCGGCTGCAACTCCTCATGCCCAATGTTGGCCAGGGATGCCTAAGAGATCTGGGTGCCAGACTTCAGTTCACCAGTCACTGGTGTATGATTCTCTGCATCATCATGCAGGGGACTGGAGAAGGAAAACTTCGAGGGTGGGTGTGGGCATTCAAGGCACTGATGAGTAAATGTCCCAGGTAGACAGTAAGTGCTACAGAAAGACTAGTCACCAGTAACCTCCACCATAATCACCTCCACCA